TGGTGTTGCCTCTGTCTGAGAGGCAAGTAAATACACAAAATCAACTTAGGGCAAGAGGTCCCAATTTTTATTAACATAATTAAGTGTCTTGGACTGACAGCATACAGTATCTAAAGTTCTAATAGTTTCCCCCTAATTAGTATGCTAACAGGCCCCACACGTTGCAATGAGGAGGACACTAATGTGTCACAATTAGAACTGGGCAAAGAACTGATTTTTCAATTTGTTGGCAGTTCTGTAAAAATGAAATAAAATTCATTTTGAGACTAACCAAAACTGATTTTTTTCAGAATTTTCAGCTAATCAAAAAAGTCAGTTTCATGTCAGGTATTTTTTAATGAGGGCAAAGGAAATGAAGGGCTAGATTCACAAAAACAGAGCAGGGCCTCATCTGGAGTACTCTGTCCAGTTTTGGGCACCGCACTACAAGAAGGATGTGGAAAAATTGGAAAGAGTCCAGCGGAGGGCAACAAAAATGATTAGGGGGCTGGAACACATGACTTATGAGGAGAGACTGAGGGAACTGGGATTGTTTAGTCTGCAGAAGAGAAGAATGAGGGGGGATTTGATAGCTGCTTTCAACTACCTGAAAGGGGGTTCCATAGAGGATGGATCTAGACTGTTCTCAGTGGTACCAGATGACAGAACAAGGAGTAATGGTCTCAAGTTGCAGTGGGGGAGATTTAGGTTGGATATTAGGAAAAACTTTTTCACTAGGAGGGTGGTGAAGCACTGGAATGGGTTACCTAGGGAGGTGGTGGAATCTCTTTCCTTAGAGGTTTTTAAGGTCAGGCTTGACAAAGCCCTGGCTGGGATGATTTAGTTGGGATTTGGTCCTGCTTTGAGCAGGGGGTTGGACTAGATGACCTCCTGAGGTCCCTTCCAACCCTGATATTCTATGATTCTATGGTGCTGTCCTCTTTAGACCCAATGTCCTGGTGGTTTGGGCACTCACTTGTCATGTGAGATAAACCCAGTTTAAATCCCTACTCTGGAGCAGGAACTTGAAGCCAGCAATTCTCCTCCTCCTATGTAAGTGCTCTAACCCCCAAACTATAGCCTAATTTTGGAGGGAGGTGGGTTTCAATCTCTCCTGTTGAACTGCTTTATATAAAATACTCATAGTTATGAGCCAGTATAAAACAGTCAGAATGACTCTATAGCCCAGTAGCCAGGGCATTCACTTAGAAGGAGGGAGACCTAGGTTCAAGTCCCTGTTCCAGACTCTGGATTTAAACCAGGTATCCCATATGCCATGTGAGTGCCCAAACCACTGAGATAAGGGGGATATCACCACCCTACCTTTATTTTTATGACTCTTGCCCTTCATTTCCAGCTGGGGGTTCTAACCACTTGGGAGTTGGGGAGGGGGTCCTCCTTCTAAGATTTTATGAGTGGTGCCTAACTCCCCCCAGCTCAAAAAAACAAAATCTGATTATTTGAAAGTTGTTTGTTTTAACCTTTGTGAGATTTTTTTTCTTTCTTTAAAAATCTACATGAATTTGCTAAATGTTTTGGTAAATCCAAATCTGAAATTTTCAACAACAAAAAAAAAGTTTCAGTCAAACAATTTTGCCCAGCTCTAGTTCCAATTCATCTTGGTTTGAAAATTTGGTCCTAATTGACTTACCTAAAGCTACAAAGCAAGTCACCAACAGAGTCAGGAATAGACCCCCTCCCCAGAATAAAGAATCCTGTTTCTCACTGCCGTGATTTAACCATGAGACACACAAATTATTTTATAAATATTTACCTTAAACTTTCTTTGTCACAGCTTAACTCCATTACTACTAGTCCATTCTTTTCTCAGCAGTAATTATAACTAATCCTTGTTGTCTTTATATAATCCTTTCACATGTATGATACCCCTACGGGATTTTTGTATATGGAATTAGCCTTCTCTTAATCACTCCACAATGGACCTCACCTGTATTTCCTAAACTTGTTAAAATATTTTTTGTTGCACTCTTCTGAATTCTCTCATTTCTTTTTCGGAATATGGTGTCAAAAACTGAATGTAGTATTCCAAGTGAAGCCTATCCCTGAGCTGAGTAGGCCTAGCCTTGTGTCCATGTGATACTTCTATTATTAATAATTTATAAAATGCATTCAGCCCTTCGATGATCATGAAATGATAAATTTCATGACTCTACGGAAAGGGAGGACTGAGAATGTATTTCAAAAAAAAGCAGACATTAACAAATTCAGAGAACTGGAAGGTAAGGTGCCATGGGAAGAAAATCTAAGGGAAAAAGGAGGTCAGGAGAGCTGGCAGTTTTCAAGTAGAGCATATTAAAGTCATGACTGAAAACTATCCTGACACAAAAGAAAGACAGAAAGAATAGCAAGAGGCCAATATGCTCCATGAGGTGCCCTTTAATTACCTGAAATTCTAAAAGGAATCCTACAAAAAATGGAAACATGGATGAATTGCTAAGGAGGAGTCCACATGAAGAGCATGAGCATGTAGGGATAAAATCAGAAAGGCAAAGGCACAAAATGAGTTACACCTATCCAGGGACATAAAAGGCAATATGAAGAGGTTCTTTAAATACCTTAGGATCAAGAAAAAGATGAAGGAAAGTGTAGGTCCTCTAACTTAGTGGGGAAGGAGAGCTAATAACTGTTAACATCAAGAAGGCTGTGGTGCCCACTTTGCTTCTGTCTTTATTAATGTGACCAGGTACTCAAGGAGGAAGGAACACAAGCCAAAATAGGGAAAGAACAGGTTAAAGAATATTTAGATAAGTTAAATGTATTCAAGTTGGCAGGGCCTGATGAATTTCATCCCAGGATATATAAGGAACAAGCTGGAGCAATCTTGGAACTGCTAGCAATTATCTTACAGAATTCATAGAGAACAATTGAGGTCCCAAAGGACTGGAGAAGGGCAAACATAGTACCTTTCTTTAAAAAGGGAACAAAAAGTTCATAAGCACCTAGAGGATAATAGGGTTATAAGTAGTAACCAACATGAACAAATCATGACAAACCAACCTAATTTCCTTCTTTGATGGGGAAACCAGCCTAGTGGAGAAGGATGACGCAGCAGACATGATGATAAGGCTTTTTTTATAGTCCCACATTACATTTCTCATAAGCAAACTAGAGAAATGTGGCCTACATGAAATTTCTATAAAGTGGGTATATAATGGATTGAAAAACCGTACTCAGGAGTAGTAATCAATGGTTTGCTGTCAAACTGGGAAGGTGTCTGCATTGGGGTTCTGCAGGCATAAGTCCTGAGTCCAGTACTATTCAATATTTTCATTAATGACTTTGATAATGAGGTGAATAGTATGCTTATACAATTTGCAGATGACACCAAGAGGGGAAGGGTTGCAAGCACTTTGGAAGAAAGGATTAGAATTCAAAACAACCTTCACAAATTGGAGATTTGATCTGAAATCAACAAGAGGACATTCAATAAAGACAAATGCCAAGTACTACTCTTAGGAAGGAAGTATCAAATGCAAAATTACAATATGGATAGGTGGTGGTACTGCTGGAAAGGATTTGGGGTTTATAGTGGATCACAATTTGAATATGAGTCAACAATGTGATGCGGTTGTGAAAAAGGCTATCATTCTGAGGTGTATTAACAGGCGTGTCATATGTAAGACATGGGTGGTAATTCTCCTGCCCTACTCAGCACTGGTGAGGCCTCATCTGGAGTACTGTGTCCACTGTGTCTGAGGGCACCACACTTTAGAAAAGATATGAATAAACTGGAGAGATTTCAGTGGAAAGCAACAAAAATGACCACTGAAGGTAGGACAAGAAGTGTTGGTCTTAATCTGCAGCAAGGGAGATTTAGTTTAGATATTAGGGAAACTTTGTAACTATAAGGGAAGTTAAGTACTGGAATAGATTACCAAGGGAGGTTGTGCAATCCCTGTCACTGGAGGTTATTAAGAACAAGTTGGACAAGCTCCTGTAAGGTTCTGTGTCAGTGCCGGGGGCTGGACTTGATGACCTCTCAAAGTCCCTTCCAGCCCTATATTTCCATTATTCTACAAAAAAAGGTGCTATGTAAGTTCATACATTGAAGAAGACTTGCAACACCCCAATGATATACGTTAGCCTTTTGATAGTGCAGGATGTATTATAGTCTGCACCAGGACTGCCAGGATCATCTTTTTTTAAATTAGATGGTATAGGTAAAAAGCATCACACAGATATAAATAACCTTACTTAATCTAAATTTTCCAAATGGATGGTGTTTTAGCCCTGTCATCCCCACTAACTTTTATCACTCTGAGAACTAATACATTCATCTTGAGCTCTTAATCCTTCCCTCCTCAAAATAGAAAGAACTCCTTCCTACTTCCCTAACTCTCCTGCTTTATCTCCCTCCACCTTACAATGGAGTCTTCTCTCCAGTCACCTCCCAAACAATCCTTTCTTCACTGATCTCCTATTCAGAACTGCTGGATATTTTGCTACGTGCTGTGAAAGAACGGTGACACTGGAGGTAGTGGAATGGTAACTGTATATATGGTAAGATAAAATATTTCAACAGTGAACAGAGATAGGAGGTTAATGAACCAGCTATTAAACAGGGGAACCCCGTGTTCTGATGTCAAACTGAGTGACACATGAAGAACAAACCCTTTAAAAGCTAGAGGGCATTCTGAATGTACCTAGTACTTAGTAATTTGCATAGTTATTAATTTTACTAGTTGAATTCATGGTGGAGTTAAAACACTGGTTTTAAACTTCCTTGCAAATGGTCAGTCTTTAAACTTTACTAGCCTAAGCCAGCAGAAGCTTTTTTTATTTTGAATACATCAGGCTAAATTTGTTCCTGGTGTAATTCCATTGACTTAAGCATGGCTCATGGCTTGGAACTTGAGACTCTTGCTGGCAGTTTGTCAGTTACTTTAATCATTAGCAATAATCTTTAGGTATAAGTGATACATAACAACAAAAAAAGTGCTTTTGGTATCAAAATATTCAGTTTTCTTATATTTTATCTGCTTTCCCATTTATGATTGCAGGTAGTATACGACGCAGTCACGGAGCTCCAAGGACGTGTGTTACAGCTTATTGTGAAAAGCAAAGGAACATTTGTGGGAGCTATCAACATTCAACTGAACAGTGTCCCATTAAATGAAGAAAAGTGGTACCCATTAGGGAACAGTATAATTTGAACATTGCCTTAGATCAGTGAAATAAATATTCTTTAATTAATATTTCTTTTTCCCTTTTCTCATGGGCCATTTTGGCACATTAGCCGAAATATTTGCCTTTGGGAATATAACATGCAGTAAACCGCTAACCGTATATACATTGAACTACTAATCACAAGGAAATTATCTCTTTTTCATGATCCATTGCCATTTAGCTATCTTCATAGGATTACTACCTTTACTTGCAACAAGTTCCCATTAGCCTGGGTGTAAAAAGGCTTGCAGCCTGCAATTTCAGTTGGATAAAATTTCTTATGGCAACAAGCAAGATTTTTGTTCCTGCTGATCACTGTTATTTGTATACGGCTAGATGTGTTTTATGTATACCTAAACCTGTGATGCTGGAGCCTTATCCAAAGCCCATTTAAGTCAATGGTACTTTCCCAATGACTTTAGTGGACTTTGGATCAGACCAATAATGAGCTTATTGGGCTGAATTCACTCTACTTGATGTCTGTGTAGTTGTATTAGTTTTAAATATGGTCCAATTAGTATGATCGCACGTTCACCTGAGAGATAGCCAGTTTGTATTTACACATTTCACATTTAATTCTTGCTCATTTCACATTTAAAATGTAATTATATGTGCAGAATTTAAAATCTGAACATTTAAAAGAATTTAAAACTGTACTGTACGTTAGTTATTGTGTATACCATATATTTTTAAGTTTTAACTTGCTGATGTAACATGTGACTTTGTAACTTTAAGATCTGGGCCAAGATGTTTCATCTCACTGGGTTTATTCTGGAAAAATATTTGGCAATAAATAAATTCTGGAAAAATATTTGATAATAGATAAATGTTATAAATTAGAGTTTGACAAATATTTAAATCCAATGCTCCCCATAGACTTTTTTAAACATTTCCAAAAATCAGATGTAAATGACTAATATATTTGAACCATCACAGTAAGTAAAGAGAATATACAATAAATAGTTACTCTGCTGAAAGGTTAAATTAAGTAAGATCATATTATAAGAAATCTTTGTTCATTAGTGTTACCCCCATTGCATGTTCATGCTGCATCAGGGAACTAGACAATACATACACCGCCTCCAGTCCTGTAAAGCCTTATACACATGCTTAACTTCATGCACATTAGCAGCGGCGTATTATCGCCTAGGCCAACAAGGCGCCTAGGGGTGGCAAATTTGAGCACCCACGGAGAAGCTCCCCGCCCCGCCCCACCTACTCCAGCTCACCTCCGCCTCCTCCGCGAGCGCGCCGCCGCGTCCTGTTTCTCTCCCCTCCCTCCCAGTGCTTGCGCTGTGAAACAGCTGTTTTGCGGGGCAGGGAGGGAGGGGGGAGGAGGGGGAACATGGTATGCTGGGGGAAGAGGCGGGGCCGGGGCGGGGATTTGGGGAAGGGATCCAATAGAGGCCGGGAGGGGGCGGAGTTGGGGCAGGGACTTTGGGAAAGGGGTTGGAATGGGGGCGGGGAAAGGGTGGAGTCGGGTCGGGGCCAGGGGCGGGCAGCACGGCAATTATTTCAGGGCAGCAAAATCATTCATCTGCCACTGCACATGAGTAGTCCCATTGAGTTCAGTGGGACTGGTTCATGAGTTCAGTCCTTGAAGGTGCTTTTGCCCAATCCAGTGAAACACTTAAGCACACTTTAATTCCCATTAGACTCACTGAATTCCATTAACATCAGTTGCCCACATGAGCCCCATGTGCATAAAGTTAGGCACTTACATACCGGTATGTCTTTCCAGAATCAGGGTCACAGGCTAGTAAAAAAAAGGATTGATTCATGATCCTATAAACATTAATATTATAACATGTATTTGGCTACAGTTGAGATTTATCCTGCAAGTTGAAAAAGTGGCTGACAGTGGGATATAATGCCCAGAGCTGTAGGGGATTCCTTTTTTCCACCCAAAGGATAATAGTTTTAAGACACACAAATCAGGCTTAAGCAGCTTATGATATATAAACCTGTTGAAGTTGCAGTATGAGTGTCATTTAAGAATATCATGAATCCAAATAAACCGGCATTCTTCTCATATGCAAACAAATTGGTTATGTCAGCTCTTGGAACAGAGCCACCATATTGCCTGGGGAAATTAAACTTCTCAGTAAGGAGAGAGAACCTGCTTGAGTAAAAACATGAACATGCCTCCTCAGTGCTGAAGAAAAACCATAAAATATTTACCATATGAAAAAGATATTGTCTATGATACAAATATAAACAGTACAAGGATCAACAAGGCCGAAATTTTAGATTATAGGTATTCCAAGATAAAGAAGCAAGTAACTTCCCTCTCAAAAAATGCAGAAGACAGATCATATCCAGCGTTTAGTTATCAAATTACCTGACCCTAAAGTTCAGTATTGATTTCAGATTCTTCTCAGTTTACTGTCTTGATTTCTTTAGTTTGCTTTTAATGTAAATAAATGTTGGCAATTTTCCAATAGTGTTATTTCCTGTAACATTTTCAAATCTTTGCCTGTGGTATGTACAGGAGAGTATAATTTTCCATATTAGAGAGAGACACATTTTGTGTATAGGGGATATAGTAATAAAAATAATGTTTAAAATGACAATAAAAATAAAATCATACTATAAAGATAAGCCAGGCATCGGCAACCTTTGGCATGCGGCCCGCCAGGGTAAGCCCCCTGGTGGGCCAGGGCCAGTTTGTTTAATTGCCGTGCCTGCAGGTTTGGCCGATCATGGCTCCCACTGGCCGCAGTTCACCGTTTCAGGCCAATGGGGGCTGCGGGCAGCGGCGCTGGCCGAGGGAGGTGCTGGCCACCGCTGCCCGCAGCCCCCATTGGCCTGAAACAGCGAACCATGGCCAGTGGGAGCTGCGATCGGCCAAACCTGTGGACGCGGCAGGTAAACAAATCGGCCCTGGCCCACCAGGGGGCTTACCCTGGTGGGCCACAGGCCAAAGGTTGCCGATCCTTGAGATAAGCATTGATACAAGTATCTTAAGTAAGAAATGTGCCATTGTAAAACAGCTTGGTAAGTTATTGAGGCTTGGACCTGAAACCTTCAATGAGTTCTGTGCATGTAGATCCCTGTGTCCATGTGAAGCTCAAAGCAATTTGATAAGACGGCTGGGAGAACACTGTCTCTTGATGGGAGGGCAAGGGCTATGCTGGCAGAGAAGTGCCGACAGCAATATCTGGCAAGTGGTTAGTGTTTTGAGATCCTGGTATCAGCAAAATTGAATATTGTCCAAGTTACCACTCTTGAGCTTTTATCATTTTTACAATGGGCATTGATGAGCTATAGCTCAATCAGAAATTGACTCATTATGGATTTAAAGGGTAAATTATGTCTTAATTGTGTGAATGTGTATGTATGTTTCCTGTTTTCTTTTTTTGAACAGATTAATATACAGTAGGAAAAAGTTTCTCAATGCAAATGAAAAAGACCACTCCATTTTGCACATAATTTTGGTGCTTTTGGAAGTCTTAGACCATAAATATTAAAATGCTACTTCCTTATTATTTAATGATTCATTACTATTTTGCTATTAGTTGCAAATAACCATATATTAAAATATTGATTGGATTCAAGAAAATATACTGCAAAAGTCAACCATGTATGAGTTCTTCTAAATTACTTCAGGGCCCAATTCTACAGCCTTTATTCATGTTAAATAGCATTTAGCCACACAAGTATTTCCACTGCTTTCAGTGGAAATTGCAGGTGCTCAGCACCTCTAAAAATCAGGCCACACACTAAACTGTTGTTTGCAAGCTACATGATGGTTGCTTTATTGAGGAGTATACCAGTTCAGGAGTACTGCTAATGTCATCATTAATAGTACCAAATATACACAAAGAGTGATGCAGGATCAAGTCTGTCACCAAGTTTGGAAAACAGAGGAACATGACGATAACCTGTAAATGTAATAACAGTAAATTAATTTATTAAATACAAATGTAGAATTTATGTGGGTTAACTGATGAAACGGAAGTGGCCGTATTTACTGTACAAATGAAACATAATTTATAGTTATCTAAATAAACCCTTTAATTAAAGTAAACCAAAATGATACATAGACTAACACTCATTACTACAGTAGTTCTCTAACATTTCTAGCATTTTAATTCTCCTGGCATTCAGTGGTGATAAACACAGGTAATGTTAGTATAGTGTCAAAGCCTCCACTGATACATAAGTTGTGATTTACAGTATGCTGCAGACTTCTGCTACAGGACTGACAAGGATTTAGAAAGGATATTCTTGGTATCCAGAAGTCTGTGCTGCACATATTGCTTTTAGAACACCTCCTATCGATTAACCGGTGAAGGAAGAATGACAATGTTCTTGTAAAAGAAACTATGCTGCAATTAGGGTGACCAGATGTCCCGATTTTATAGGGACAGTCCCGATTTTTGGGTCTTTTTCCTTATATAGGCTCCTATTACCCCCCACACCCTGTCCCGATTTTTCACATTTGCTGTCTGGTCACCCTAGCTGCAATGGTAGGGAGAGGTGGGAGGCAGAAGTGGAAGGTTTCCTACCACCCCGGGCCACTTAAATCCTGTTAAAAATGGGCTTTTTGGCAACCCAAAAATTTCTACAAAGAAACTTACCCAAACTGATGTTTGACAACCCTGACTAAGCTCCAATGTTTATTTGACTGCATTTTCCATACACAAAGCAAATTTAGAACTGGTTTCTTGCAGTTTCACAAAATAATATGTACATTCAAACAGAAGAGAGAGAGAGAAAGGAATAGGTGTGCAGATTTAGCTTGTAGAATGGTAAGTATTCTGTAATAACAATGTCTGTTTTTCTCATATCTCCTTTTTCCCCAGCCCATGAAAAGAATCCATAAACAGCTTTATAACTTACTACCCAGGAGGAAGAAAATGTGTGTGTGGGGGGGAGGGAAACTGTTAGGACTGGTATAAAAGCAACAAGTTGCCCACTGCCAGCTCAGTGTTTTGCAGCCTTACACAGTCCAGGTAACATTTTTAAGAGTGCCTAAGTCATT